GCGCGGAGGAAGCTGGCGGACCAGTATCCACATCTGCACAACGCTGAGCTCAGCAAGACGCTGGGCAAGCTGTGGCGGTGAGTACACCTGAGTTTCATCTGATGAACACCTGCACAGTACTGAAACACTGCGCTGACCGAACATGACTGATCTGTAGGTCTGGAGTTACAGACTCTGGACTCCTCCATGCATCTGCATTTTTGTAGAATTCAATAGATTTTTTTTAAATTACTATGTTACTGTGTGCCCCCCCCCCTTTTTTTTTTTTTTCCCTTACCACGATTATGTAATGCAAATCTAATATCATGACAGGCCTGTTTTTATTCACTGAAACAAACAAAAAGAAGAAAGAATTCCAGTATAATGAGAGAAAATCTGCAGATTGTGCATAAACAAAGCTATTATGGCGGGAATATCATTTTGTGGTTGTGGTAATACACACCGAGGAACCACTTCATTGTGGCTTTATCTGTATAGTACAAAAAAACAACTGCTAGTTCATTGGTCATGTCTCAGTAACTGTAGATTTTATAAGAAAAGGAAATATTCATATTCTTTATTTAAGTAAAATAAAGAAGTCCTGCGTTAATGCACTTATGTAAGTGGGTATTTCTGTGACGGAGTATTCATATAAAGTAGAATAAAATTTAAAAATACACAAAACTGTAACATGTATAGAGTTCTTATATGATTACTTATGTGAATAACTGTAGTTATTGATGTCACTGATGAAAGAAGCAAGGAGTCTGTCTGTTTGTTTTGCTTCCTGCTGTGTTTGAAACACCAGCAGTTCTGACTTGTCCCTGTCCTCCTCAGACTTCTCTCTGAAACAGAGAAACGTCCCTTTGTTGAGGAGGCCGAGAGGCTGAGGCTGCAGCACAAAAAAGACTACCCAGACTATAAGTACCAGCCTCGGAGACGCAAGAGCAATAAACCGGACCAGGGCGACTGCAGACCTGCGCTGGTCCAACAGCAGAAGCAGGGCTTGTATAAAATGGACCCGGGTGTGGCCAGGCTGGCTGGCACAGGGGAGGTGGAGCAGCATTACCATTCAGACAGAACAGGTGATGACACTGTGATACTCGTTTCTTTCCCTGTTTTGTGTTTGTTTTGTTTTGGTTTTTTTTGTTTTGTTTTTTTTTTTTAGTTAAATGTGAAAAAGCTGATTAAGGTTCACTTGATTTTGCGTTCCAGGTCAGTCTCACGGGCCTCCAACACCTCCCACCACCCCTAAGACAGACCTGCACATGGGACCCAAACACGAGAGCCGTCACTCTGTGGACACAATGAGCTCCAGCGCTGCTCCTCCTCCCAACCGTCAGAACATCGACTTCAGTAACGTAGACATCTCTGAGCTCAGCACTGACGTCATCGGCACCATCGGCGCCTTCGACGTTCACGAGCTCGACCAGTACCTGCCTCCAAACGGCCACGGTGCCACTGTTCTAACCCCGCCAGACACCAGCAACCCCTCCGGTACTTTCATCCCACCCAGCACCGACTGTCACACTCCCAACATCCAAAATTGGACGTCCAAAATGTCTGGTGGGACTTCCGCTGGAATGCCGCTACCCTCTTCCAATTGTGAGACCGACGGGCTGCACAAGGATGGCGGCCAAAAACCTCAGATTAAAACTGAGCAGATGAGCCCGAGTCACTACAACTCCTCAAGTCCTCCACCACCGTCACACCAACCTGAGTATACATCCCTGGGTACGGGCGTCTGTCCTTCCTCCACCCCTACCACCTCCTCGTCTGCCAACCAGTCAGACTACACCGACCTTCAAAACTCGAGCTTCTACAGCGCTTTCTCTGGTTACCCCGCCAGCCTGTATCAGTACCCATACTTTCATTCCTCCCGCAGGTCTTACACCACCCCACTGATCAACAGCCTGGCCTTGGCACCACCTACTCATAGTCCTCCCTCTGGCTGGGAGCCGCCCATCTATACGACCCTCACCAGGCCTTGAAGAAGACAAAAATATATAGACTGACTTCTAACAGACCAAAATTTTTGAATTGATCATTGCCGGCCGTAACCGGCCGTAACTCACATAGTTTGTCATATATTATTGCATTTGTTGATTTTCAGGCAAAAAAACTTTAGCGTTTTTGTCCACTTTGAGCACAAACACTTGCAGAGTGACATTTAAACCCGCCCTGGACACCAAAATGTTCCACTGAAATGCCACACTAATGAAATTTCAGCATGAAAGTAGCACCTATTTCAGACAGGGCGTTTTATAACACTTTTCCACACTAAAACTTAAATAGTTTCCTAATTTTTGTACACTTTTATTAAAGTCACTTGGAAAGTGACGCGTTTCCAAAGGGCTTCTTATTCCTTCACCAGTAAGAATGTGATTTACATCGACATGACCAGGAGATTGTAACTTTTCTTAATTAGATTTAAAAACGGGAGACCTGCAAGCCTTAAAGGCCCACGCCTGCTTAACTGTTTGGTATAGCATGTGTTGCATTTTGTGGTTGTGTATGATAGTTGGACAAAATAAAAGATGTTTTGCCAAATTTGTAGTTTACGTAAAAGGAAGTTGTACCTGTGAGCAGGAGTTTTGAAGCCCCTCGTGGTCCTATCAGTTGTTCTCTGCAGACCCGGTCCCTCCTGCTGCTTCATTTCCACTGTGACAGCTGCTCCTGCTGAGTTTCCTGTGAGGAGATTAGTTAATTTCACAGTCCAAGCTGCGGCTGTCCTGTCCGTCAGCCACAAGGTTTGATAGGCGGGACAGCTGCGTGAGGTTTTCACAGAGGCACCGCACAAGAAACACACAAATTATTAAAGAATTATTTGGGTAAAAACAAGTCCTACACTCAATGGCTGTGTAGACATGCTATACTGACAATAAAAAATAACCAAAAATGAAGCTGAGGTTGTGCTTATTACGTCCATGTAAGGACTGCAGTGCTGTGAAGCCGCAGGTTCACTGAGAATGAATGTTTGCCACATGTTCCAGCCACTCAGTGACCGTGGTATCTTTAGGACAAACACACCCGTTTTTAAACACTTCCTGTGTGGGTCCGAGCCGGCTGCTGCAGCTCAGTGGCTCCCTGTCTCAGCAGTTTACCGTGACAACCCAGGTGCCAACGACAACAAGGGCGCCAGACAGAAGAGACATTGATTTATTCACATGTGCGTACGGCCCTGGAGCCAACGTGCGGACGTTTGTGGAAGAGTGGCGAGATCATCAGGTGACATTTGCACCAACAGACCTTCAGTTAAGTCTTTGTTCTGTGGTGAGTGTGCAACTTCACACATGCCAAGCTCTATTTGCTGCTGACCAGTGAGCCCCATCTACTGTAAAACGAACCGAGCGTCTAACATGTCACTTGAAAATTCAGGCTGTTTATTTGAGTTTAAAGGAGGGAACCGAACGTCTATCATTTCATTCAGTGATCCTTGTGGTGAGTATATGTCTTAAGTAGGTCCACATGATGGGAATTATGACATTTTGCTTTCTCACTAAGAGAGACACGAGCATATTCACACCACCCTTGACTCTGGGTATAGTGTTGCATTCGATGGCAACTGTAAAGCTGGAATTTCTGAAGTTCTCCAAGAAAAAAAGAAGAGTGGAAAAAAACAACACCAGAAATTGACTTTCCTACTCAATAACTTTCAAGGTTATTTTTTTAAGGCTTCTCACCCCCTGCTTCTCTTTGTATCATTTTTTTCAAATTGGGAGCTCAAAAACTAGGCTAACTCTCAAATAGCGTTTGAGCTTCTAATGATTTTAATTAAATATGTCATCAATTAAAAACGTCACTCAAGCTTTTACCAATCAAATAATCAGTTTTGATATGTAGTCATGTGATCAGTAACCATATGATATTAAGTGTTCCACTGTTTCAGATGTGTAACAGTCTGGGGTCAAGTGAATGAAGTCCAAGTCACACACCAGCCTAGAGAACAGTCGACAACCATCTCGCAACTATAAGAAAATTGTTGTGCTCCCTGACCGGTTGGCAAGTGGTTGGTGGTAGTTGCTCTGAAATCGATTCCTATATATTCACACATATCAGTAAATGCCCCCCTGCCCCAACAACCACTGGTTGCTAGGAAAAAAATGTGCATTTCCCTCCTAGTTGCTGATTATTTTGGTTGCTAACAGATTGCCACAGTTAGCACGGAAATACACAGGAGCTAGTGAAACTCTAAAAAGTGTGTCATAAGCCAGAAACAAAGACCGTCTGGCTTTAAAGTAAACGTTACTTTGAATGCTCTCTGGTTTGCACGACACATTTTTTAATTCTAAAAAGGATTGGCTAGCATTGTGTTTGCAGACAAGTAAGGGTCTTCCATGCAAACTATGGGCAACTGTGACTAATAACCAAAGCAGAAAGTTTTCTCTGAATGACAGCCAGCAACCTTCTGCAACCATTTTCCAACTGGTCAGAGAATATATGATTATATTATTATATTTTACCTGTGACACCAGAGACACATAAGGATGTGTCGATTTCAATATAAAACTACTTCTCACTTTGACAGTTAACACTGCTGTCTCAGAGCAAGAAGGTCCAGTAGCTGTTCACGATGTGGACTTTGTATGTTTTGTCTGTAAGTTAAGAGAATGGATCTCTAACTCTCTTTCAGTAATTTCCCAGCAGTGTAGTATCCTTCTGGACTAAAGTGTCAGTCTATTTTTTTTTTTGCCATCTGTTTGTACAAACTGCTTCAGTTTACATTAATGTCCCCCACATGCTCCCACATGATTCACATTGCCCTGTGAGCAGTGGCGGGGTGATAAAAGAGCTCCACCTAGTGGAAGAATTGGGGAGCACTGGCAGCCATGCTCAGAAAGACAGTACTTTCAACAGGTGTATTTGTGTATTGTTGTCAGCCATGGTTTAGTTTAGACTTTTGTGCACCAATCAGGATTCAAGGTTACTTAAAAGCAACAGCAGATGGATCAGTGTGTGGAAAACTGTTGAAAGACAACAGAGAAGAGGGAACACGGAGGACAATCCAAAACACCGGCAGCTCATTTCAGGATCATTTGTATTGATTTTATAATGAAACAAACTATCACTGTGATTTAAGGATCAACACAACCATGTGTCTTTAAAACAAGATGCAAAGATTAAACGAAATGTCTGTAGAAGTGTCATATAAATTACAATCCTGTCACATTACAATCCTGGAAAGCAGCGATAACCGTCTACGATGACTCAGTATGTTCAACAGTACAAATAAATAAGAGAACATCTGTCAGATTGAGGTTTGAAAGGTAACCCTGCCTGGATGCAGATATGCCATCTCGTGCTGCCGAAACAGCAGAGGGGCTCACTGAGAGATTGTTGTGTGTATGTTTGTGTGTTTCGTATGCATATTTGTTGTTAACAGCACTTTGCAGATTTCAGGTTTACCAGGGTTTTAGTGCGGGAGGTTCAACCTCACAGTGTCCTCAATGAAAAACGTCGCACGCACACAGAATAAGCCACTGTCATCAAAACTGTACATTCAATAAATTAACAATGCATTGTCTTTGTTAAGCAACCAGTGAAATGACTCTAGATTACATAATTACATTAGATTACAGACAGAATGAACCATTCACAAGACAAAAAATTCTGGTTGGGAAGGGGGAGGAGGAGCTTGTTGCAAGGGGAGGGGTCCACATGGCTGAGGAGAGGAGAGGAAAGGGTTTCTGATGTGATAATGTACAACACAAGGTTGGTAAGCGCAAGAGTGATGACATCATCTACCCTTTGGCCTTGGAGCACCCCATGAGGGGCCTCGAGTCCCGTTAGAGTTTTAGGCTTCCTACACGAGACAGACTGGAGTCCTGCCGGTGTTTTCTTTCCTTTCTTCGTGTTTTCCCATCTCGGCCCATCCCTAAAACCCCACGTGACCCGTAAGACCCACCCCGCCTCTTCTAGCCATGGTCAGTGGTCGCACGCTGGGGCCGTCTCTGATCTGAATGAGACCGGGCTGGTCCAGTTGAGCGCTTGGTTTCCAGCAGATTTCAAGGCTTGTGTTTGAAATGGGCCTCCACTGCAGGGACACAGAGAAAACGACTTTCAGTAACAGGAAATTCATTTATTTTTGTGTTTCGCTTATACTCCATATATTATGGTAGGATTTTAAAGCTTTACACATGCCCTTTCCCCCACAACAAAACATGCAGGGTGTGCCTCAGTGTTTAAAAATAAACCATTTTAGGACTGTTTTTCTTAATGACCTGCGTACTCCTGTGGCCTCATTGGTCGATTTATGACCCTCTGGAAAGCGGCTATCCAGTCCTGTTGCTCGGCCTCGGTCTCACAGGCAAAGAGGAACTTCCTGTCTGGCGTGACGATGGTGATGCCGTGGTTCCAGTGGTAGCCCTGTGTGGACGGAGGCAAGCCAGCCAGGACAGTGTAGCTGTTCTCTTTGCTGCCGATGAACACCTCCCCGCGGGCGTAGGCATCCTGAGGGACAGGAAGACAAACTAAGCAAGCCACAAATGAACCAAATCAAAAGGTTGGGTCGATGCAGGGCTCTTCTTACCAGAGGGTCTTTGAAATACATGAGCCGCCTGTCATCCATCGTAAACCACCTCTTCTTGAAGCCCTCAGTGTGCTAAGGCAGAGTAAGACAGACAGTACATTTGTTGAAAGGAGGGAGACAAATGCACATTTTGTCACTTATCATAAGACATGAAGATGAAGTTTTGTTGTAACTTGCAATACTCACTCCTCCCTAAACTCAAAGAAACTGCTTCAAATACAGGTAAAGAAAAAAAATCATAATTTTACCACTGGGGTGAAAAAAGCTCCGAAATTCCAGAATTTCTTCTTTAATTTTTAGCTTTTATAATACATACTGTATATAGAAGATTACATCGTGACTGTGACTCGAACTATTAGGCTATATAAGTATAAGTACCGTTTTGTGGAATCAGATGTCAAGATGTCATTAACAATTGTTGGCTCTTACTGAGAAACTGAAAAATGCTGCAGCGTCAATCACAAAGTAGCCACGCCCTAAATCATATTCTGCTTTGTCGTTTGTTTCACTTTAACAAAGTTACCATCATTGTTACCAAACATTTGTATTCTATTTTTTCTTATTGTATATTTTATTCTATTTTATTCTACTGTATATAGTATTTTATTTTATTCTATTCTGTACAGTTGTGTACTGTATTTATTCTTATTGTATTCTAATTTTTGCTTCATAACTTTTGCACTGTCCACTTCCTGCTGTGACAAAACAAATTTCCCACGTGTGGGACTAATAAAGGTTATCTTATCTTATCTTATCTTATCATGCTGTATTAAACCAAACTAGTATCTGAGACTATTTGAGAAAATAAATTGAGCGAGCAGATGACTCCTACACAGCCATACTTCTTCTTGCAACCTATAGACTGTATACAAAGGATGGATGGAGCTTCCTGGTCTGAAAAAGTGAAAGCCATTCTTTCTAATGGTCAACAGGAAGTGACTACAAAAAACTGGGTCTACACAGCTTTGGCAACAAGGGATAAGAACACCAAAGACAATTAATACCTTGTTTGTTTCAGTAAAAGAAATACTGGAGAGAAACTTAATCTAACAATAGCAGGTGTACTCAGTAGGGTGAGTGGCATGAGAGAGTGCACTAGCGTGTTTTTGGAGCAACCTAAATCCAAATGGGAGAACCAAGCAATAAAGCGCCAAGTCTTTTTGGATACAACATGAAGCTTATTTTGTAAACAATGTTCCCGGTTTGATTTTTGGCTGACTCGATTTTATAATTGACAAGTAGCTAGCCTATGAGTGTACACTGTCCCTAAGTTTCTTAGCCTCATGCACCCTTCACTCATCGGGTCAGGTTTTAATGAAAGTCAAAATTCCAGCTTCACCCGACAACATTAATAAGTAATTTTTAAATATTTATGATATATGCTATGACCAGAGGAGTCACCCCCTGCTGGCCATTAGAAAGAATGCATTTTAACTCCCTTTCATTTTCAGACTGACAAATTACGCCCGTCTTTTATTTACAGTTAATGAAATCTGCATTTGTTCCATCACTTTCACTACTGCATTTTCAAACTTACATATTTTCTTAAATAATTAATTACAATTTACCACACAGCTAACCTTAGCTTTAGGCATTACTCAGACTCAATTAGGTCAGTCTGGTTTATGGTTGTAATGGTTCACAGAATGAGAAAGAAGAACAATAATTATAATCGCTAATGTTTACTTTTTTATTGCAGAATTCTGAACAGATTTACTCCCTTGAGCCTCCAAAACCTTAAAAATAATTCCAGCAGAAGAAACCAGGAGGCTAAAAGATTAGGAACCAATGCACTACTCTGAACCTGGAGACACTTTGGCCATATTTAGGTCACCTGAACACTGAAACTGATACTATCATCCTTAGTTCCTTAGAGGGATGACTACAGCACCAACCTTTGGACCCGTTTTCTCCATAAAGCCTTCCTTCATAAAGCTTCGGGTCAGTTTGGGCACCAGCTGGAGCAGCAAATAGACAAAAGAGAATCATGTAAAGAAATAGGAAAATGCATGCATGAAATATTAAAAACTGCCCTTATTTCAGCATGGACATGTGCAGTGGGATCACAGGCGTCAAGACTGCCATGCAGTAGAAAAGCATCATGAACAGACACCTCTGAGAATGCTGTTTATTTTTTTAAACTATAAGCTCAGTAACAGCGATGCGCATGCTTAAATCACACAATCCTCACCTCTTCGTCACTCGCTCCCGGGAAGGCAACCTGCAGGTAGTGGAACCTGGCAGCTCTGATAGCATTGAACCAGTCGACCATCTCCTGCAAAGGACAAAAAGCTCTCTCAGTGGTACCATGCCCTGCCACACTTCATATCTTATTCATTCTAATCCGTCATTTCTGTTCTGAGTAAATAAAACAGATTTTGGTTGAAGGTATCTGTCACACACAGCAGAATGAATTCCAAGGCGTGCGTTGCTGCGTGGAAGCTGCAGCGCTGTCGATAAATCCGCTACAAAACGTGAGAGTGACAGGGATGCTGAATGAACCCAGTGAACCCTTCCTGTGACAGCAGGCAGGAACTCTAATGCACCAGCAGAGGGAGCAGTGCACCCTCTGTCATTCTTACTCCACCAAATGACTTTAAAACCTCTCCGTTTCTTCTCTTTCATCTGTTCAGCTTTGATTATGTCTCCCTCTAATTCTGTTTCAGCCCCAAATCCCAGTAACGTAGCAGCAACGTGAGGCTCAGCAGTTTAAAACTCTCAGGAACACACACCGTCAGTTTAAAGGTTAAAGTGCAGAATTGTATTCAGGGAGGAAGTGTAATGATGGACAGCTTATCTTACACATAGCAGGGCTATAAGATGTCAGATATGATTGTTTGTGTTGTTCAGTACGCTAACGGTGTTTGTTTGTATCTTTCAGCGTGTAGCTTGATCATTGGGCAACCATAGCTTACGATACCATATTTACTGCAGTGTCTAAGAGCTCTATCACTATCTTACACATTCACAGCCACTTTATTAGGTATACTTGTTCAGCTGCTCGTTATTGTATCAACGGTTCAGGCTGGTGATGGTCCTGTAATAGCACACTTTAGGCCCTTTAGTACCAGCTGAGCATCATTTAAATGCCACAGTCCATTTGAGAATTTCTGCTAACCACGTCCATCCCTTGACTTCAGTGTTGCCATCTTCTGATGGCTGCTTTCACGTTAAAAAGCTCAAATCATCTCAAACTGGTTCTTTGAACGTGACACTGAGTTCACTGGACTCTAATGGTCTCAACAGTCACCAGATCTCAAGCCAGCACCTTTGGGATGTGGTGGAGCAGGAGAGTTACATCACGGATGTGCAGCCGACAAATCTGCGTGCAAACGCTGCGTGATGCTGTCGTGTTAGCATGAAACAAAATCACTGAGGAGTGTTTGCAGGACTAGATGAATCTACCCCATTAGGAATTAAGGCAAAAGTCCTTCTAATGTGTGCTTAATAAAGTGGCCGGTGAAGGCTTACTGTTGGTCATACAAACAAAAACATTTAAAATGCTCTAACCACTGGATAACTGTATATAGAGGAAGAAGGAGTCACAGAATATGTTCAGTGCCGATATTTTACAGTTTTTCCAAATGATATCTATGTGACCAGCAGCAGTGGCAGATCAGGGTGTGGGTGTTGGACGGAGTGGCGGGTTAGTGTGTGCAGACATTATCATCCATCCATTTACTTTTATGAGCAGAAAAGTGCCTGTCAGGAGCTTTATTGGACTGATCCGTTACCTCTGGGAGCGGAAGGGCTACAACACCTGTGAACACACCCTGCACTTAATAACAATGAACTGGCCTAACCTAAGAGAGCCTGCAAACATTACTCACTATTTGCATGTCCTTAACATTTACTCAGAGTCAGATTCAAATGTTGTGACCCTCAATCAAGCAACAGGTGTGGCTGCATTTTAGGAAGTTGACACTCGACGCTTTTGTCTAAGAACATGATTTTGTATTACAACTGGCATATTTCATCACCTTTGGTATAACATCTGGCTAATCCAGCACTAGCGTCAGCGTTGGTGTCTGTAGCAGCTATAGCCAGACCAACCAGACAAAACATGATTTCACAACTAGAATGATTCATTACTCCCCAGGACTCGAGGCCTCTTCACGTTTTTCTCTCACTAGGTCTGAAATCCCATAAATATGTGCAGGTGCTTACTGTTGTCATCGTTTCAGTATCAAATAATATTAAAATAACAGTTAAAAGTTAAGATTTAATTTGATGTAAATGCTTGTGTTTTAATTAAGGTTAATAAGCCTAGCAGGTGGAGCGCACTCAGTGCATTCTGACTGATTTAATTCATTTCGTGATAACAGGCAAAACTGTAGCGATCACAGCTATTTTCATCTTAATATAACATCCTGGTTTTTGAACAACTGGCTGCTTACAGGACTGTGCACAAGTCTAGATTTGCCCCTCATTTCTTTACATTTTGCTTCCAAGGAGGTGAACATTATTGCAATTTTTAAAAAAGTGGTCTGAATGTTTTCAGCGCAATATTTTGTTATTGTTGTTGTTAAGCCACTTAACACTGACTTATGAATCATGCAAGCATAAAAAGCAAAGCTCAAGGAAACGCACAAGTGTTCTTTCGACACAGAACAGACAGCTTAGCAAAGAACTAATTGTATTTTTAGACACTTTGTTTCCAGCAGCCTGTCACTAAAGTGCAGAATTTGTTAAAAAATCTGAAAAATGCCAAAGATAACACAATGGGACAAATATAAAATAGTATAATTAAACCAAGATGATGATTCTCAAAGAGCAATTAGCTGAAAACTCATCATGGTGTGGCTTTAAGAAAAATGGACAAAAGAAGAAGTGGCAAACCTAAAACACTATGTTCAGAAGATGACCAGTCTATGAACGATGTGTCCTGGTTTTGCTCATTGGGCTGTGCAGGTGACCCACATACTGCCTTTTCCTTACCATATAAAAGACCTTAAGGTGCCTGCTGTTGTGATTTGGAGCTATATAAATAAAGGTCCAGAGAATTCTCATTCCCAACGCGTAACATACTGACGATTTATCGCGGCCCGAGGCGTCTCATAAGGACGCGCAAGGGTACATTTCGCGTTACTATGAGACGCTCCGGATTGTCAATTGAATCCAATAGAATGGCGTTCGCGGCGGTAACACACGCTTAGAGCAGAGGCTCCAGCCGTCCATTCCAGTCCGAGCCCTAACCCTAACCTTAACCCTATCAGATAGTGTTTTCCAAAGTGATTCATGATCAGAACGTAAAACAAAGGTACATGTACAAATTCATTCATCACCCCTGTTCTCCAGGAATTTCACTGAAATTCCAGATAGTGTTCAAACTTCTTCTGGTCACCTTCAAGGTCCTTCATAACTTCGCTCCTCCCTACCTCTCTTCTGCCCGCTCACTTCGATCCTCTTCTTCTGTTCAGCTTGCTGTGTCTTCTTTCCGCCTCACCGTCATGGTAAGCAGAGCCTTCAGCTGCTCTGTTCCCAGGCTGTGGAACTCTCTACCCCCAGGTACAGTGGAACGCCGACTTACGAATACCCCGTTAAACAAAAAATTCAAGTTATGCAGGCACTGAACGGCAATATTTCTGCCCGTGTTATGGCAAAATGCCCGTGTTATGAAATCTCCTGGCTTTGATTGGCTGAGCCCAGAATGCCTACAATGCCCACAATGCCTTCCGAATCATGTGACAACCCCTTGGCTTTCGTACTTGTGCTTCGCTGTTCCACTTAAATGACGTATTGTTGTTGCCGTTAGCAATTAGCTTATAGCTTATCGTTCACTCAAAAGGCGCGATGGGTGCTTCGACTTACGAAAGACCCTCGGGAACGAATTAATTTGGTAAGTCGGGGTTCCACTGTATAAGAAACCTTGATTCTCTCCTCCATTTTCAATCCCTACTCAAAACCCATCTATTCAAATCTGCATATTCACTGTGAACCTGTTGTTTGTGTATGTTATCTTGTGCTCTTGTTTTCTTATTTTTCTTCTGTCATTGTTCTATTATGTGTTTGATTCTATTGTTAAGTGTCCTTGGATGTCTTGACACTTTCAAATAAAATGTATTATTATTATTATTATTACTATTATTATTTCAAACGACTCTCATGCCTCCAAACGCGAAACACACCAACGATTTGTCACACTGAGTTGGTATGTTACGTGTTGGGATGAGAACATGTTGTACAATTCACTTTCTTTAAACTGAATTAATGTTGAAGCAGAAGCCTGGTTTAAATTTGCCCCAAGGCCTTCTCCTTCTGGTCTTTCTCCCAGGTTTTCTGTCTTCTCTCCAATAAAAGCTAAAAAACAAAGAAGCTTTAAATGTCCTTGGAGAAGCGTGGAGAACTGTTCCTGAAGACTGAAAGAAAGCTGCCTAAAACACTCCAGGCTGTGGTGGAGACTTTCAAGCTTGTTAGAATTGTACAAACTCTGTTTTTGCCTTACGTACTGCATATCCATGTATGTATGCACATTTCAATAAATCGCTGTCCCTATTTTCCAGATTCTTAGCTTAATATAAAGAAACGATGGAGGGCAAAGACTTTTGCACAGTATTGTCCTTTGTTCATAATCTAAGGCATAGTGTCCTCAAATTAAAGTCTGCACTCTGCCATCAGAGTCATCTTTTGAGGCCACAGATCTCCTCTGTGCTATTTTTAAAGCTCTGCGCGTGAGAAGCAGAAGCCCGTCATTTTAGTGTACATAGTAATTTGGAGTTACTTGTGCAGAAATGTGTGTAATACATGCGCGTGCGTACCTTGGCGTCGCTGTGGTAAACAAAGATGTTCCTTGTGCTGTTGTCTTTCAGGTAGGTGATCTGCAGTCCGCAGGGGTTGCCAATCTTGGCAGGCTGGAAGGTGGCATTGAGGGTTTCTATTTTCATTATTGCCTTGGGATCTCTGGCCTTGACAGGAGCAGGGGTAAACAATGAATTGTAAAAGTCTCATATTCCTCAGTATGGCTGCTGTGCACCAAAGAGAAATTCTGCTATTGGCTGTATCGTGTTTCTTACATCCTGCTTGTTGAAGTATTTCAGCGCTCCCTCCCTCTCTGACAGGACAAACTTTCTGCTGAGAAACTGACCGTTGTCTCTTCCTCGTTTCCATAGAAACCCCTCTCGGTACCCTGGGTAGAAAGAAAAAAAGAAATAAATGTGTGTGTGTGTGTGTGTGGTAGGGGAGCTGGTACCATAAAGCCTTTATAGGAGACAGGAGATCAAACAGAGGAGACGTTTACAACAGTGATAGGGAGATATTGTAACTGGTTGGTGTCAGATGATACTTCAGTTAAGCTGAAATCAAAGATCGTTTAAAATCTCATTTATGCAGACAGCGAGGAAAAGGAGACGGCGTGCAAGAGTGAGAAAACACAGCAGAGCGGGAAGAAACAAACAGGGGAGGGGGTGAAAAAGCAGCGTGAGTCAGCGCAGACGGTTTTTATTGTTTCTGTACATAGAACATGCTTTCCCATGTTAATGACATGCCGCACTATTTGTAGCCCTGTTATGTTTTCTTCTTCTCCTTTGGTCTATTTCAGTAAACCCCTCTGACTCACGCTACCTCTTCTTCTTGCTTTCATCTTCTATTTCTGTTGAGCTCTGCAGTGTTTTTTTGTCTGGATCTATTTTTGCGAGTTAAAATTATAGGAAGCGTAAACGGGTAGTCCTCCAAAGAAGCGACTCATTTACATTCAGGATGAAACTGAAATCCCTGCACTGGGGAGGACAAATAAGGAGAGGGGGTTACGCTAAATAAAGTTTAGAAATTTCAATGAAATTCGAATTTGTCAAAAATTTCCCGAGTGCTTTTATAAAAGAGCAAGGGATTTTCAGCGTAGCATTTCCAAATATAGTAGTTTTCTTTAAAGCTGAGACAGCATCATGCCGAAAACAAAAGCAATCAGTTTAGACTTTGTTGATGGTCACAAAGCAGAAGATGAACATACAAAATGATTAGAGTCTTTCAAAGTGTCAAGAACTGGAAAGAGAAGTAATATCAAGAAATTCAAAGACAGTCACAGAGTACAGAACAACCCTCGCAGAGGTAGGAAACAGAAGACTTCAAAGACTAGAAAGAAAAGTAGCGAGAGATGTGACTAACGACCCCAGAGCAACTGCCAGGACACGAGTAAAGGACTCAGCCAAGTAGGAATTGTAGAGGACAAGACAATCACCACAACCCTGTACAGAACCTGTATAGACTCAGAGGTTGAACCAAGAACTTCATTCCACAACCTGGATGCATACTGCAAGTTCGTCTGATCGGATCAGACTAAACTGAAACTCTCTGGCCACAGAGATGCTGCTTATGTTTGGAGAGAAAAAGGAAGAGGTGTACAACCTAAAGAACAGAGCCCCCACAGCAGTGGTGGGAGTATTATGCTGTGGGATTCTTCATTGTGTCTAGTACTGGGGATCTCGTCAAGGTTGAAGGAGTCATGAAAAAAGAAGGTTATGTGATGATTTTGAAAAAAAAAAAACCTCAAGCAGTAAGCAGAAAAACTGGGTCTGGATCTTCCAACATGGCAATGACCCAAAATATACGCAAACAAACGCTCCTGGTGAAGAACCGAAGTAAGCGTTACTGACTGGTCTGCACAAAGGCCGGACTTGAATGCTATCCGGTCGTTAAGTCTGACGTCACTAGCCGTGTCTGGGCCTAAACTCCGCTGCTGGTCCATATATCAAACGATCACTATGGCATTACTGAGAGTTGAAAAACTGTCTAAAGTATTTCATCTTTAATAAAATGATCAGCGTTCTGCTCTACCAGGTGTAACAATTGAGTTTAACATCCAGGCATCCATGAAAA